ATTTTCCTCCATCTATATTTTCAGTTGTAGACTGAATCATTTCTACCTTCTCCTCTCTGTCAACGCTCTCTGGTTTCATTTAAAAGAGCAAATCGTCAGATATTGTCCAAGATTAACCTTCAGGGTGGATATAGCTCACTAGCAGCCTCGCACCGATGACCTATCCACGTCATCATTTACCCAGAATGCTTTGCATGTAAATAAAATGGCCCCATCCGTGTAATATATTTTTTAACTTTTAGTTTAAAAATGATCAAAATTGAACATCCTACAGTAATTTTACAGTCTTTATTTTACAGTAAAAAATGTGTTTCTCAGCTAAAGTCTAATATTACAACTAATCATGGATCCCTTTAAGAAGGTTATTTTGCACAGACTGAGCTCCAACGCATATTTTGTATATGTACGTAACTGTACAAAATTTTGCCATTAACTTTCTGTCTGTTCAAGATGGCTGCCACATCTAAATCAAATTTAGAAAACTGAAAACTGGGTATACCTCTGACTATTTTACAGATATTTAGCTAAAATTTGCTCCAAATGAGACAGAGGTTGTAATATTTTTACCTTTATCTGCTGGAAGATTGTTTCGAGCTTCAAGAGCAGCAGGGACCAAGGCACTGAACGGGAAAGTTTGAACAATGAGGTCTTCACTCAAAGATGGTCCAAACTCCTCCATCTCACCATCATTACCTTCCATAATCACATCCACCATGTCCAAGACATCTGAGGGACATCGATGTCCAGATCAGATTTCAAAACAAAAGTTTCACAGACATATTTACAGTTGGAAGAAAACAATTTCAGTGTCACATTTTCATTCTCACCGTCTATGTGGGATATTGGAATACTGACGGCGTCCCCCTCCTGATTACTCAGATTAGCCTGCAGCTGACTTGCCTCCTGGACGAAGTTGGCAACTTTATCTGTGTATTCATGGGAACTGCCCACCAGTTTAATCAAAATCTAGAGTGAGAGACAAGAAGTTCACTATTAACATTATCTTATAAGAATCAAACTGTTTTAATTTGAAAAGTGAAACAATGTTGAAATTTCAAACATGGATGTAAGAAGTGTAGACTTGCCCTTTCCAAAAATGGAATAACTGTCTCTTGCTGGTTTGGTTCTAGTCTGGCCAACTGTTCCAGCCACAGCTCAACCTCAGACAGTGTGTACTCAAATACCCCAGTGTCCTTCAGCACCTGAATAAATAAGAGGAAATACAAAATGCTGGTTGTTTTTCTATGATATCAATGTTTTAACTTAATCCATTTATTAAAAAGGGGGGTTTTCAGTCATCGTGAGCACAAAAAATCCAGAAGAACTTTGAACAAATATAAAAAACTATGCTTTCAGATTCAACAGCATGTGATATTTACAATGTGTTGACCCAAATTACAGAGAAGAAATGAATCATGTCTTGTTTACCAAGAGGAGGAAATTTTAATTAAGAAAATGTCAAAATCCATGTCATTTTATTTAGCATATGAAGGCACAAAGCTACAGCACAGCAAAAATAGAAAGAGTTCCTACTTTTAGAATCAGCTTCTGTGTGGAGGATCTGAGGAAGCTGCTGCTGTTGGTGCTGCTCACAAACATTTTTAGAAGCAGGTAAAGTACTGACTTCTCTCCAGATGATGATTCAGAGCATGCAACATCCTGTTAGAAGCAGAACGATACAGATAATATATAAAGATGGTTGCTAATTACAAAACAATAAGTTAGAAACAATAAATTACCATTAAAGTCTATGATAAATAGAATAAAGCTTGTTCACCTGAATGCGACACCAGGAAAACTTGCTGGCAGGAAGATCTAAGGCCAACTGAAGTATCTGATACTGTAAGATGGGCGGGATTTCTTGCCTCATTCCCTTTTCAGACACAATCCCTGAAAACATTTCAAATTAATTACAAGTCTGTGTTTTTACGTCTTAAATCAACAATAAATCAACAACAAACACATTACCTTTCAGGAGTTTGCTGAAGTCAAATTTGCTTTGCATGACCAGATGTGGGACCACCTTCTGGTAAAGACATATGACCTGAAGAATCAAAGCCTTCAGCAGAATGACCTCAGCTGCATCAGCAACTGGTTGACAATAAAGCACAAAAGACAGTTTACATCAATTCATACAAAAATAATTGTAAAAATCTGTATTAATAAGTTATTACCAGGCAGTTCATTTTCATTATTCGCCTGTTCCACACATTCTTCACTTTTTGTCTTTTCATCCTCCCCCCCGGGGTTTTTCTTCTTGCTAAGTGACTGCCATGATGAAATGATGCTTGTCATGTCGGGCAAAATCTTGAACGCAGGATGAAAAATGAAGAGGATCTGAACGTGTGCCACTATAAACTGCAGACATTAAAACAGCATCTCCTTCAGCTTACCTTGCCAAGTGCCTCCCTGTACTGCTGCACCAACTCCTCCATCATGCTGTCTGTGTACACGTCTGATTTGTGCCACACAGACTTGTCCAAAAGATACGCCATGCTCTTATTAGCTTTTTTCAAAATGAAATTCATTATGGACACAGTTGTAAGCTGGACTGTGGAGTTGGAAAGCTGTCAAATTAATCAATATATATTTATTTTGTTTCAGTGTTGGCATTAGACAATATAACATGAAGTTTATTAAGTGACTTACATTGAGGCCCTGTGTGAAAAAGACTCTGTTACAAACTGGAGGAACAGATATCACCATAATCATGGACAGCAAGCGAGGCAAAGGGATCATCTCACCGCTTTGAAAAACTGTGGAGATTTCAGGCTGAGCTTCATAGATCTGAGGCAAAAACGCACAAAAGGTCATCACCGACACAAACGCCCATAAACAAACCAACAAACGCAGCAACAACATTTACCTTTTTAAGCAGCTTCACATTGTCCTGCCAGGCACTTCTGAGGCGCGGGGTGTACGAATACTGAGTCTCCTTGAAATATCTGGACAGAATGTCTGGGCAGGTTTTCAGCACGTTCACCACCAGATCTGCCACCAAATCATCCTCAGTTGCCTGCTTCAGCCCAACCAAAAACTGAAGCAAGACAAGATTACCCGCTCTACAAGACAGGAAGCATCATGATCAGCATGAGGTGTTTTCAAAGGAGTAAAATGCAAACTTGAAATGTTGAATTACTTACCTGCCTGATGTGCCAAAGCTGGCATCATTAAAGCTGATGCCATGTTTATAGGAGCAGCACAAGTCAAGAAAAAAGCTGTGAACAAGTTCCCGGACGACTGATATCCCAGAAGAATCAGAGTCCTCTGCAGTCTAAGAACGCAATGAAGTAAAAGTGTGACTCATATGCTTTTGAAGCTAATTTAAATGAAACAAAGTTAGTTTTATTTGATAAAAGGAAATTCACAACTTACTGTGTCATCATCTATGGAAGCATCTGCAATCCCATTCCATTTATACAAAGATGCAAGGTTGTCCAAAACAGCAGGAGTGAAGAAGCGCACTTTCTGAGTTTTACTAATGGCTTTGTTGAAAACAACCTACGTCAAGACAAGTAACAATAAACACTTTTTTACAAACTATAAACTGATTACATTTAATTATATGAACGTTGCAGCACTTACTCTTGACTTCAGTGTTGACAAAATTAGATTGACTGTTGACATCCTGTCCTCCTTCAGACCCGTGTTCAAGATATGTGGCAGGAACTCTAATCCACCAAATCAACATGTCATTGACACAGCAAACAAAAATTGTTCAGTGGTAAAATAGATATTTTACTCTCAGAGTTAACTCTACTGCAATATTGGTTCCAACCACTAAATTCACAACCAATTTTCATGGCAAGTGAATGGGAATGACGAGTATCTGTCTTGATCATAAATTAAAAAAAAAAGTACCCAAAATTCCACCTTCTATCAAGTTTACTTCATTTTTGAGAGATAGCAATGGCATTATTTTAAATCTGTGCTCCAACAAAAATTTGAATTTTCCTAAAAGTGCAAAAATACATTTTTGACAACCTTATTTTTCAGTTCTTTTCAGCTACCTAAATCCCCCAAATAAACCATTTTGAATTGGCAACAGCAAAATGTTAATGACAACATATTTACAATAGTTTCTTTCTGTGATAATAAACTCAATCTTTGTGGTGAGTAAACATTTATTACTAGATATTTTTAAAAATATTAATATTATTCTAATCACAAAAAAGCTTCTGAACTATCCCCACAAAAAACATTTATTTTTCTAATTTCTAATTGTCCATTTTCTAAATAAATATAAATGACATATCAATAAAGTTGCTTTAAAACTCTTTCAATCTAAGTAACTTGATTTAACATAAACCTCTCTTGAACATTTTGTCAGCATATTCAGAAATGATAAACAAAATCTTACCTTTAAAGTCTAATATTTGTCCAATGATTGCATTATTCCCAGACACCAAAAAGGAGAGCACAAACTGGATAAAAGCTAAGCGCACATCAGGCTTACCCTAAAAAAAGGATGAGAAAATTCCATATATTTACAGTATGCAAAAGCTTTAAAGCACAGTTTAAACAAATAAAAGCCACATCAGCAACACACCCTTTTATCCCTTCTTGTTGCAAGTTTAGGAAATGCTTTAATTTGAATGTGATTTAAGACTTCTCTGGCAGCTTCGACACCCTGAGACACCATGGCAGACAGTAGATTGAGGCACTGGCGGACAAACCTGCATACACAACAGGTTATGAGCAGAAATGTGTGCGTGCAGAAATGTACTGCTGTCATTGTACAAACCCATGATTTGTTGTCTGAAAGGACCCTTGAAGAAGTTTCATGTGGCCCGAAACCATCTTTTTCACGATTGCGATGCCAACCATGTTGAAGTGGGAGAGGTCACTGGCTGTTCTCAGAAGAATCACTTCTAGGCTCTCAAAAACCAGCATCATCTAAACAGAAACATGGTTTTAGAGTCATACACTGGAAATAATGCAGTTCAGTCTGACACTTACACTTCAGCTTACCTCAGTTTCTGTGTGCTTCTCTCCTTCTAGGAGACTGAATATCTCTGAACACTCCATAGAGATTTTGATGTAACCCTCGACCACATCATACATGTCAGAGCATGGCAGCTTCTTCGCAGTAAATATGAATTGTTGTAGTCCTGCGGGACAAAAAGTTGATAGACTGATGGACTTATTTTGTTTAACTTCCCTTATATAACTCATTACAAGCTTATAAGATTAATATACACCTACCCCTCATGGCTGTGGTGGGATTTCTAAGCATGGTTTTAAATTCAGTGCCATTGAACTCCGGAGCTTTTCTTTTCTCCGGAGGCTCCGACTCCGCCGGGACGTCGCTACGGCGCTTTTTATCCATTTTTATATCAACTTTAAATCAACATTACTGACTTCTTACGCAGATATATATTTAGTTCCACTGATCTGTCAATACAATGCGATCCAACAAACCCACGTTGAGGAATAAACAGAAGAATCCCCAAATTTTACTGTTCCGTCTGAAACACTAGTTTAAACTTTGGTTCCGCGTGCTTCTTGAACAAGTCCAAATCTTGTTTTTTTGTTTCTTGACATTAAAAAAATGTATCATAGATAAAATAAATATAAATAAATACATTAAAATAATGTTATAAAAATAAAAATAAAGCTGTTATAGCACTTCTTTTTAAGCATCCTCCTTTTCATACTTTTAATGACTCCTTTGGAAGAGTAGGTATAATCACAACAAATGGATTAGGAAAAATGTTGTTAAATTAAGTTAATGGCAAATTCTTTTGACCTATTTTTATATTTCTCAATTAGCAGTCATTAATTTCATTATACTTGTTTGCAAATCTGTACTCAATTGCAATGCACACTATTGTGATTCGTTTCCCATCCAAGTCATCTCAACTTTGCCATGCTTCTCCTCCTGCATTGTCCTAGAGCTGCCATTGTAATTTATATCTGTAAAGCCCCTGTGCCAAATGATGGCTATGCCTTTTAGTGCCTGTAAAGCTTATAGTTTTTCAAATATTAATGTTTAAGAAATTATAATGACAGTCAATGGATCCTCGTATTGGTCCAATACTGCCCCCTGCTGCCTCTACACAATATGATACTGCACCATAGTTTAATAATATTTAAACTCAGTAGTTTAGTGATTACAATATTAATATGACTGTATTTTGATGTTTTACTGTAATACTGTCTTTACGTTGTCCTATTGCCGTAATATATTGCACTTAAGTGTCAATAATTGCATTGGCAAGGTAAACCTTTTCTGTATACAGACAATCCAATCCCTGGAACTGTCCTCTGCCACATCTCCTATAGTCTCATGATGAGCACTGTGGGCTTTCATGTGGGAGATCAGGGTTCAATTCCAGCTACTGCTACTTTAACAAAAATCTCTGCAAACTTCATTTTGTCACACAATTACCTTAATTCTAAACACCTGCTGACATGACAGGCACAAGCTGGTAAAGAAAACACATTTGAACTTGGTCAAAGTTCATTCTGCAAGTCCAATGCTGCAGGCAAAGCCATGCTGCAATGGCATGCTATGTGGCAATGCACACTTGTTTTTACATTGTAAAAACCCATGTCTAGTTATTATTTTGCTTTTAAATCCTGTCATGTCCTGTGCTTAACAAAACATACAACAAAACAACAAATGTAATTCCTTACTTTTAACAATTTCACTTTTAATAGTGTTTTTCATAGATGTAAACATAAATCTTATATGTTTAAACGAAATGTTTCTGGAAATGTAACAATCAAAATGACTGCAGTCTTCCATCCTATTATTATTATTATTTTTAATTTATTGTTTATTTTGTAAATATCAGTTTATAACATGCCTTGTTTTAGTCTTCACAAAATCTCAGCATAAAGTAAATAAGGGAGAACATGCATTTTGTAAAAAAAATGCATGTAGACATAGTTGAGGTTCAGCTTTGTAGACTATTTGAAGAGTTGGTGGTTTTCAGCTAAAGTGGAACTTTTTCTTGGTTATCCTTTTAGCAGACGTTTTTAGGCACTGCCTGACCATATCTAAAAGTTGATGTTGAAGTGATGACAGCCCGCTAAAATCTAATTTGCATCATTGTCCATCAGTTATTATTATTATTATTATTATTATTATTAGTTTTGTTTTTGTTCTTTAATGTAAAAGACAGAAACACTAGCATAACAGATCAGATCAATCAGAAAATGAGGCCTCCTTAATAATCAGGTGTCTTTGTGCTTCCAATTAGACTGTTGATGATTGCTGAGAAAGTCCACTTCTGGACTTCTTGTTATTCATTTATATTTCCAACAGGGGTCACCTCTGCCTGAGGGTTTGAGTGATACGTTGACAGTTTTGAAAACTGAGGATGCTGGAGGACTTAGCAATCAGGGCTGAGTTGTGCAGATGCACCCCAGTGATAAAAATAATTAGAAGCCTTTAAAGGTACTATGCAAAATGTGTTTTATTTTATATGTTTTGATTAAAGTGAAGCTTCTGGAGTCAAAGTGGGTCATCCACGATTATTTCACATCCATTGTGAGGTTTTGGCTAAAAAAAAAACCCTGCTATTGTCTGGAATGTTGGTTTCTGGTGATTATAGCTCTCAGCTGTGTATGGAATAAAACACATCTGCCTGTGGAGTAGAAACCACTGAAAACCACTTGAATGGCATTTTAGAACTAAATATGTCCTAAATATTCCTGAAATGACAGCATATAAAAATTCTCTTTGTCCATTCTTCAGTCTTTACGGTTTAATTACACAGTTCCTACTAATGTTGTTGTTTTTCTTTCAGCTGCTGCCTTCTGTAGGGATTGCCATGGCAAGCATGAAATATCTGGCAAATGTTTTACGCGGGATGCCCTTCCTGACATAATCTGCAGCGTGAGTATTACAAAACGGTCCCACTGACCACTGAGCTGCCACAGCCCCACACTGTTCCTGTCCATACTCCAAACTCTCGTTTTTTTTATTATTTATATCTCATGCACTTACTGTAGTTATCAGACAAACTTCTGTCATGAAACAAAAACTACACATGATCTGTATGCTTTGATTCTGTTAGATGAAAAAAGTCTGTCAACTCCCTTACAGCTCTAGACCAAAAATAACATGTAGTGATTACATGTCAAGAAGATATGACAAAACAGATTGTAACATATTTTTCTGCAGCCTCCAGTGTTTCAATTATCATAACAATTTTTTTGTAAATAAAATAATATAAATGTCATGATCTGTGTCTTTGCTTTAGTTTTTTAGTGTTTCAGTGTTCCCCTGTGTATTTCTGCCCTGCTCCAGCCCAGCCCATGCTCACCTGTTTCCTCTTGTGTCTCCTCCAGGTGTTTCTTGTTGTCCTTCATTAGTTTGTCTTTATATTCGGTGTCCTGTCTTCAGTGTTTGTCCGTTCATTGTGCTTACCAGCCAGTGAGGTGTTCTCTGTGTTCCTTGTGCTGGTTTTTCTCCCTGAGATTTTGTGAGTGTTTTTGAGCTGCCCTGCCAGCCTTCTTTTGTTAAATAACTATTTTTGCACTTTGGATTTTTGCCTGTGCCCTGGGTCATTCTGCCTGCTGAACCTCACAATAAAAGGTCAACAGTATTTCAAAAGTCCACAGTAAATGAAGTTATTATTTTCTACAAAAAACACTGAAATTAAACTGCTTAAAATGCTTATTTTCTACCACAGGCTTATCTTCTTTTGAATTGGACTGTTTCTATGGACTCTGAAAAGCAACTTCTCATTATTGTTTTTTTCTAGTTTTTTTTTTGTCACTTCAGTAGAAAACGAAACCAAATATTAGTTTTAGTTTATTTCTTCAACATCGGTGACTTTTTTTTAAGTGAAGAGAAAATAGAGACAGAGAGAAAAACGGAGAGAGAGAAGTAATTAGAGAGATAGAAAGATTGAAATAGCGATTAGAAGTATATTACATATACACGAACAAAACACAGGACCACACACCCAACATCTGTCAGCTCACCTGTAAAATAAATGGATAAATACATGGAGGGCATATATAAATATATACACATACCCATACATATATAAAGATATACATACATACATGCCTACATTCATAAATATTGTCAGTATACTGTATACACACAGACATATATACACACTCAGTGACCAGTCAGAACCCCCCGGATCAGAAAACCTGTTTGTGAGCAGTTGTGAACATGCGTGTGTATACAAGATTTTACCAATGGAATATTTAATAGTGACTGTGGAGGACCGGAGACCCAACCCCCAAGACACGAGGCAGACATAGGGAAGACCAGAGCCCAAGGGCCCAAGAGGGATCCTGAGCGCAGAGCCCCAAGGGGCACCCGTACGGGAAGATCCGCCCACCCACCCCTCAGATCAGACCATAGGGGAGAACTGGGAGAGTCCCCCCAGCGACCCCACGTACAGCCCCCGGGGCCAGCAGCGACAAACTCGTGGGCCCCACCGGCACCCGCCATACCAGAGCAGATCCAGGAAAGGGTACAGAGGTCCGGGCCCCAAGGGCACACCCCCTCCAGGCCAAAGCCCGACAGGGCCAGAGGCCCCGAGCCCCAGCAGGCAGTCACCAGGCCAGGCCGGCACACACCCCAGCACCCAGCCCCAGACCCCAGGAACCCCCAGCACGCCGGTGGCCAGCCGCACACCCCACCGGGGGGCCGAGTAGCAGCAGGCCCCCAGATAGACCAGCAGTAGGGGCAGCCCAGACCGCAGCCTGACAAATACTCAAACATACACAATCGCACCATCCCACCCTCATCCTCACCCCCACTCAGTCAAAGACATACAAGGATGCCACATTCCACTCATACCCCCGATACACACTCTATACCCCCCAGGTCCAGGACATGCACCCACCCCCTATTGGAGGCAGCACACACCCGAACCCAGGAGRTAGACCCAATCATTYTGAGGTGGAGAGGAGCAGATAVCCAAGGCCCGGCCCGGGCCGCACCAGGATGCCCAGCCAGCCCCCCGCCGCAGAGAAGCCATACGCATGACCAACCCACTACACCGCCAACGACCAAGTGCACCCCCCCGGGCCACCCACAGGAACCAAGAGCCACACCTCAGGAGACCAAGCAGAACCAGGGAGGATGGAAAGCCAGCCCCGCCCCCGGCAACCGTCTAAGCCCCGAGCCCATCCACAGCCCAGGACCGCCCCTGGCGGCCCGCCCTTCTTCAGGACCCCCTCCCCAAATGGCAGTCGGGGAACGGGATGGGAATAAAGACCCTGACACCCACACCCCCACCCCCAGATGTACTGTTGGTGCGCTTTGTTCTATAGAGTAATTAAAAAGGGAAAGAAGAAGAGGCAGAGGCCGGCGTGGTGCCAGTTTCCCCTCCACCACTACTCTAACCCAAAACCCTAAGTGTCTATATCCAAACCTTGGGGGGTGGGCACAGGCACAGGAGGCAAGAGTGGTGCCATCCGGCCACCTACAGTATAGCCATGAGTGCCCACCATTATTAT